GCACAAACTCGCAGGGTGCCACGGGAACAGAGCTCAAAACCTAATTCAGAGGACACTGCTGGGAGGTGAGGTGTAAAACCCTTCCTGTGAGAGATCTCCAATTTCCAAATGAGAACAGTACGTGGAGCTGTCAACACCTGTGGACGAAGAAATGTTACACACTTGCCCCAGCTCAGTCTCTTCCCGAACACAGTAAGGGCAGGCAGCCAGGGCCTTTTCTAGGCAGACAACAACAAAAGGGCAAACACTGAGTCTGAGGTAGGTTCAGAACACTGTGAGGACGTACTAAGTTAAAAAAAAAAAAAAGACAATCATTATATTAACGCCAGCCCATTATGTGGCTGAAATACTCTTCATTTTTTAACACAGAGAACCAGTTATCTATAAGCCACCCCACCTCAATAGTCACAGACATTTGTGCATGGAAAAACAGCAATTTTGCCCTTTCTCTCTGCTGGCTCCAACGGTTTCCAATTCCCCCAGCCCCGGCCTCTCCCCCCTCACCTGTCTGACAATGCTCTGGATCAGCTTGTCCATGGTAAAGGCAATGTAGGCATGAATGGTGAACATCTCTCTCAACGAATCTTCATACTGCGAGGAGTCGATGTTGCCATCCAGTAGGCTCCGCACCATGTCCAGGAAAGCTGGATAATAATCTTCTACCTCAACATCCACTGTGGGAGAGAGGGGATAGGTGACGCTCACCGATTTTGAAAAAGAGGGGACAAGGGTAGGGTGACACTCACAGCCGGCCTAGCATCAGATAACACACCCACTGGACATTCAAGCCATGTCCACTCCATCCGCTGCACACAGAGATGAACTCTGACAGATGGCTCTCTCTAACCGCCAGCTCTGTCCATCACAGGAGAGCGACACCGCGTCTGCCGGCAGCTTATACCATTGCAGCTGACCGTGCTCCTGGCCCCTCTCCTGGAGCACTGCAGGGGCTCTGCGTGGAAGAAGAGCAAAGCCATCTGGGAAGAAGGTTGCCCTTCAGAGTTGCTAGCTCCCCATGCCTCACAAAAGCTCGCCACATATGGGTTGCAAGCTCAGTTATGCTACTGCTGTGTCAAGTACAGATAAGAAGGGGCAGGCAGACACACTGTGACAGGAGGAAATTTCTTGGAAAGAGAAAAAACAGGAGGGCAAATTAAAGCCTCGATCAATAATACAGTCATCTGCATTGGTCAAACTCCTGTTGAAAAATGGATTCCCCACCCCCAAATATAAAGAAAAAGAAAAAATGGATCCCCAACGTTGTACTTCTCAAATAGCATGACATGACCTATATTTGCCGCACATGCTATTGACTCATCCCCCAACAGGCAGCTAGAATGAATCTTACTAGCAGTTGTTAAACAAGACATTGGGCACCAAGTGGTGACTGGAACTGGTCTTTGGTTTACTTTTAAAACCCAAGACCCATTTATGTATAAAGTTCACAAGCAGGAAAAAAAGCAGGCAAATCCAATCTCTTCTGTCTTGGAAATCCTAAGAGTGGTTGGTTACCTTTAGAGCATTAGGGGCCCAGAGGGGACAGGGGAGGGGTGGAGCTACGGGGGGCCATGATGTGTCCTTTCTGAACCCCAGTGCTGGTTACCTAGGTGTGTTCACTAAGTTGTATAGATTCTAATTTGTATTACTATTTTTTGTATACGTATCACATACTTCAGCAAAAAGTATACTACAAAAACTACAGACAACTCTTCTTTGTGGACCAACGAATAAACCTATTAGTGTTGGTCCAAGAGAAAGGAGGAGTTCCGCTTAACAGCCCAGTCCCTGCAGCTGCAGTGTTACGGACTCATTAAAGACCGGTCTAGCAGGGCAGTTACTGTGCAAAACACATGGCTGCCGTGACCAGGCCACAGCAGAGGCACGGGCCTCCGAAAGCCAGGAAGCGACCTTGAGCCAGAATAAAGCAGAGGCCAAACCACAGGCTGCACAGGAGTATGACGTAAGCCCGAGGCTCATTTAAGACCAAAGTTTTAAGGCCACACTTTTAAACAAATACTCGCATCGCATTGTGTTCCCTTGACCCCACCCCCACAAACCGAACACTCTTCTCACATTAGTTTCCACTGCACGTTCCATGCAAAAATATGCTAAATTTTAAACCAGGTTAAGTCAGTGGTCAAGTGAGGATTAGGCTGTTACAATTATTTCTAACTTCTACCCAGGTAGATGAAATGATCATCCTGAGGCCCAGAAATAATACAAATGACAACTTGTCAAATTAATTCCCAGGGTTGTATAGGCAGCCAGCTAGCCCCCCCACAGGCATCCTACATGAGCTTCACTTTAAAGAATTCCCTGGCTTTCTCCTCTAGAGCCCAGGATAAAGAGTTCTGGATCGCCTCTTGAATTCCAACGTTCCTTCCATCATGATGTCAATCAGGAAAAAGTCCGAACCCCTCTGGGTAAAGAAGTCCTGAGCAAACGTTCCCGACACAATTCACACCTGTCCTAAGCATAAACACACCAGGAATTTCTCTTCTCCCACGGAGTGAACTAACAAACACTTCAGCCCACCCTTCGCTGTCATTTGAAACACCACAAGAACGCAGAGGTGCCACTGGGGAAACTGACAGCAACTGGTGTCTGCCTCCCCGGTGTTCACAGTGCTAAGCCCCATGACCGTGACTCGTGCACCATGCAAGGTGCTCTGCGTATTTTCTGTAGCTCTGCCAACTCCCCGGCACCTCCAAGTCACTGCTCTAGGATCTCTGCCCCATGCCACCAGGGAGCAGCCCCAAGTCTAACTAGGCCCTCAGCCCCGGCACTCACTAGGTTCTTTGAGACGCAGCTGGATGGCAGGGCTGTCACTCTTGTCTCGCCTGACCCCCGGCATGTCATGCTCCCATACTCTCTCGCGGTTTTCCTCTTCAATTTGCCGTTCAGCTTGGGAACAAATCCGCATCAACCTCAAGCAGAGAATCTGGTGCAGTCGCATAAAAATATACCAGTTGTTATTGACATAGAAGAGGTTGTAGACTTCATCCATCCCTTTTAATTTCTGAGCTGCAGTGTTACTAAACAGCAGCTTGGACTTAGGGGGGCTGCCCCCAACACCATTGTGCTTCTTAGCCGCCCCAGTGGCTTCATCCACATCCATCTCTTCCTCTTCCTCTTCCTCCACATCGGAGAGATCCCCCCTTTGAGCAAAGAGCAGATCTGGAATGAAGTGGTGCATGATTTGCTTGATTTTGTATTTGTCCTCCTTTTGAATGCCTGTCTGCCTCTTCACATGGTGGATAATCAAAGCAGCAGCATCCTCCAAGATTTGTTTGTCTTCATAGACAAGCGAGAGGTGGGGGCCGACGGGGACACCAGCATTCTCTTCCGTAGCCTGCTCTTGCCTCTGGCGGGAGACAGACATAGAAACACACACATACACACAGTGTATTACACAATATGTTTAGAGCAAACCAGACAGGCCTGAGTGGCTACCCCAGGAGTACACTCCCCATTACCAGCCAGAATAGCCTTTTCAATCAAAACCAAAACCAAGACCAGACCTTAGTAAATTTGGTGCCTTTTCTGTTAACACAATGGTAATGTGGGAGATATGATTTGACGCCTACAGGATGCCCAAACACCAACAGGTGCTGGACTTTGGTTTTTGGTATAGGTCCCAAAACTTCTTTGGCTAACCACATCTCTTTCAAGGAAAAAACCCAGCAAACTTGTATGATAGCTCATACACCAGGATTAACTGTAGCAACCTGCTTTTGCAGCCCCTTAATTCACTCCAGCAACCCCCAGGGGTGTATTGCTCATTTTGGAGTAACACTGGCTTATAGGAATATTGGGACCGCCTTTTAAAATTTTGGATTAGTATTTTATAAAGGACAGCACACGAGGTCTAAGACAACTTGGAATACTTCTACGGCTGAGTGTGTGGGGCGACAGATATTACAAAATGGATATAAGACAGAGGTGATTATATAAAGGTGTGGCAACTTTCAGAGGGAGAGAGTTGTGAGAGAGAGAGAGAGAGAGAGAGAGAAAACTCCTGGACTTCTGGGCATTCTCGATCGTTTCTATCCATCCTCGAAGACTGCAAGTTCACAATAAATAATTGAGTTTAGGAAATTGATGTTAAGTTTATAAGTGGTGGGAAGCTGGAATAATATATACAAATATAAAGTACTGCTCAGTGGAATTAAATCTGAGGCAGGTGTGACCTAAACCTTGATGATAAATTAGACTGGTGAAGCAGCTCAGGTACACAAGACATGGTAGGATCAGGTACAGAACAGGCTATGACCGTTAAGCAAGAGGCAACAGATCTTGAAGAATCTCATTTTCATATGACCACACCAATTCCCTCAAATCAAAGCTATGCTGAACATAAAGATGGCAGTGTTCTTAAGCCCCAGCTCACCTCATCATAAATACTCTCGATCTCGTTCAGTAAGCTCTTAGACCTCAGGACCTTGGTGTCGTTCTGTTTGAAGTTGATGCCCTGGTGGTCCAGAGACTTCAAGTAGTATTTCTCATTTTGCTCTCTCCACACTTTGTTAAAGCCTCTCTGAGCTTCCCGCCATTCTTCCTCCTTCATCTTCAACCTAGTAGGGCGAGGAGGGCAATAGACATCACAGGCAGTCTAACAGTTTAGAAGTAAGAGATATGGCAGGTTGACTTTACAAATATTTTCAAAAGTCAGAAGATAGATGAGGCTAGTCAAAAATATCAGTCACTTGGAATAAAGGTTATCAAAGCAATCTTTTTTTTTTTTTATCAAAGCAATCTTGAAGAAGCTCTCTGCCTCCTGGAAGCCCAGCAGAGTCCTGCTGTTGAGAGCACTGCTTTAGGAGGAAGGTTTCTTTCCGTAAGGACAGTCTCAACCCTGCCATGGGCTGTGATGCTACCACAGCTTCAGCACCTTCTGTAGTGTGGTGCCTGCCCTGGTGAAGTGGATTCTCAATAAACACATGTGTGGTTTTTATAACCGAGACTTTAGTTTTCATGTTCCCGCAACTTTTCCTCTTGTGGCAGGTGCTAGGCTTAGTGGACGAAAAACTTTTTTACTGCTGACCACTGTTCTTATTCACTAAAATGAAATCAATTGTTCTCAAGCTGTTAAAAAAAAAAAGACAATCTTGAACTTTTACTTGAACAAAACTATTCGTTCAGAACAAGGAATAGAAAAATGTTCTAAAATTGGCTGTGGTATTGGTCAGCCCTTGTTGATATGATTCAATTATTGAACTGTATGATATGTGAATAAAGTGTCAATAAAACTGTGAAAAACAAAACTACTCAATGAGGACTTCTGTGGGGAAGTAATTTGTCCCAAAGCCAGAAAT